CATTAAAAAATACCTCAATCATGAGCTACTACATCAATTTTTTAATCTACCAATTGCAACCTGTAGTTGGAAGAACCTTACTTTAAGGCTTAACTCAAGTGCCACATTGTATGATGTCTCTGTACCATGCAATATGGCACCCTTAGTCACATGTGGCTTATGGCTACCATATTTGACAGCATGGTTATAGAATATTTCCATTATTGCAGAAAATGTTATTGGGCACTGCTGGACTCTCTCCATCTCCTGCTTGGACTAATGAAATAGCCTGGCAACTTGTCTCCTTTTTATCTTACAATCATCCATATTGCTGCTGGAATTAACTTTCTGAAGTTGCAGACACTTCTCTGCTTGAGACTCTTCAGTGGCTCTCCATTTCATATGAAATAAAATATTCATTTAAGGCCCTTCACGGTTTGATTTCTCTACCTCTCTAACATCATTTTTGACCTTTCCTGCTAAATGTCATGCGCTCTTAAGCTTCTATGTTTTCACTCTTTTTTCTTTTCTAGAAGTGCTTTTGTTCCCCTTTCTCTTCGAGAAATACTTTACTTTTTACCTTACAATACTTTTAAGACCTAGCTCCTATATTTTCCTTTCTGGGAACATTCTCAGGAATTTTCACCCTTCCTGAAGAAAATATATGGCTTTCTTTCGCATGTTACCACTGCAGCCTTGTTTCAGAACTTATACTGTATTATAATTAGCCACTCACAATCTGTTTCTCCTCTAAACTATGAGGCCTTTGAATATTGGGAATATGTCACAGTCATCTCGCTATCCCCAGTGCCTGGAGCGTGCGATACCCACGTGCTGGCTGGTGAGCTGGCTGGCGGACTGAATTTTCAGGTCGTTGAGCGTAGGGACCATACTTGTATATATTTAATATTTTCATAGTACAATGTGAGGCACAGAAAAGGCGCTTATGAATTATTTTTCTCTGCTTTTAGACAATTAGTTTTAGATTGTTTTCTGCAAATCCAGCTACAATTTGTCTTTTTGTAGGATGAAAGGGAACTGGTACTAAATCATTTTTTAATATAACAATTTTTTTTTTTTACTTTTTCACACTGTTAAAAGTTCACGGACTCTGTGGGGAATTAAGAAAATGAAGCACTTGTAGAGTGGTTTTAAATTCCATTAAAATGGCTTTTACCAGTGCTCACTCTGTGTGAGTAATAATTTAAGATCGGTCGGTAGAAAAGTGGTTCTAATGGGAAAAAATTCCAAGATAGAAATAAGACCTGAAACTTTTTCTTTTCTTATTCTTTCCTTTTCCTTACTTTCTTTTCCCCCATTACTTTTCTCTTTACTCTTTTCTCTTCTATTCATTCATTCATTCATTCATTCATTCTACTTTGAGTCCTTGGGCAAGTTCTAAAATCTTTCTGTCACAGCTTTGTTGTGTAAAATGAAGGTCATTGATAATCGCCTTTAAGTCTGTTTCAGTGATGTGGTAAGAAGTGTAGGGAAAGGTGTTGAGCTCTTTAGAAGTAATAGTGATAGCAGTGTTTATTGTTGTTTCTTATGAATTGGTACAACTTTAAACTATTTGCAAGACTTTACTAAATTATAAAGTAAAAAATTCTTTGTGAACTATTCTATAATGGTTACTTCAGGAATGGAGTGTTTTGTATATTTTATTGGGAAAAAAAACCCTTAGCCCTTTTTATGTTTGTTAATTGAATTGCCCAGTACAGGAAAAACAAACAAATAAACATACAAAAAAACAAAACCCACAATGCATGTATATGGCTATTACCACAAATACTACTAGAAAGGTACTGCAATCTCTGAACAAATATTCTAATGTGTCTTGGCTAGAGTCACCAGATACTACTGTGTGGGCTGTGTACTGCACAGTCTTATGTGATGGTTCTTGTTTTGGGGAGTTGCTTCTTTAGTGTGAATCAATTCATATGATTAATGGCAAAACCTCCTGTATCTATGTAAGTATCAGGTGCAATATTAGTTTATTGGCTTCACAGTTTTCAGATATCTTGCTCTAAGTTTTCTGTGGGTGACTACAATATTTTCTGGGCCCTGTAAAGAGTTCCATCCTTGTTTAACATTTTCCTGGGAATTTTCTTTCCATCTTAGAATACTCTCCAGATATCCTTTGGTAAGCAATTCCTCATGCTGATACAGGGCGAATATTAAAAGTCAGAGCAGAAGTGATGGATTTGAAGTCCATATCTTTAGAGGGAGCTAAGAAAACCAACGTAAAAAGTTTGTAATGAAACAAAGGCAGAGAAAAAATTCAAACAACCACAGGGCAGTTTAAGAACTTTTTTTAAGCATTCATGAAATATTTGGACAATTCTACAGACTCCTCAGAGAAGAAAAACCAAATCATTGTAGGTCAAAGCATGTTACTGCTATTAAGCAACTAAGTTACTCTAAGTTTTATAATCTTGTACATAGAGTGAATTACTGAAATAATGTACCAAAAAGAAAAGTCTCGCCAACAATTTATCCAATTTGTTGTTAGTACAGTGTCGTGTTGAGTTACATAAAGAGCAGAGTGTTTTCGCAGCTATCTAAATCCCCTACTGCCTCTCAGTTTTATTAACACTAACAAAAGTGGAATAGGAAACATGTATTTTCAGTCCAACTATCAGCTGAGGCCTTCGGGCAGCACGGCAGGTCTTGAATAGTTGTATATTCAGAGCTGTAGTTACTGTTTTGCATTTTCTGACAGACTCCAGAGGGGTTTATGAATGAAGGACTGCTGGCTGGGAAAAAAATTTTGGAATTTGACTTTAAGAGAAATTTCATAATAATTTAGGAACTACTAAATTCAGATTAGATCAATCTCAATGTATGGCTAACAAATAGAAGATACGTATTTTGAAAGTAAAAAGAGCAGCAAGTGCATTAATGTTGAGTAGATGTTATGAAGAGGAAGAGAAATTGGTAACAGGGTTAGGATATATCTTGTCTTGTTTCTAGTGATCTTTCATTTACTCATGTAGAGACAGCGCAATGATCCCTGTTTTTTTGTTTTTGTTTTTTTGCCAGTATTGGGGGGGAGAGTAGGGCTGCTGGGCCACGTTTTTTAACTATAATGTCATTTCTTAGAATAAACTCTTTATTACTATTTTATTGACAAGAAAAGAAACCCTGTTATCCAATAAGGAATGAGGGAAGAGTAAAGCTTCTGATTGGCCTTTTCTTTCTGAAGATATTTTCTCCAAGGTTTACCAAGTTGTTTTTAGAAGTAAAAAGTAAATAGCTACAATACTAACAGTGGCATTAAAATTATTAAAGTCATTAAAATTATTTTAACAGTCATTAAATGTACATGATGTTAAAGCAGCATTATTCACAGTAGCCAAAAAGTGGAAGCAATCCAAATGTCTCTCAGCAGATGGATGTATAAAAAAAGTGGAGTAAATACATACAATGAAATATTATTCATCCTTGAAAAGTAAGGAAATTCTGACATGTCACAACATGGAAAACCTTGAGGACATTATGCTAAGTGAAATAAGTCACACAAAAGATAAATGCTCTATGATGTCACTTTTATGAGATATATAGAGTAGGCAAACTTAAAGAAACAAAGTATAATGATGGTTGCCAGAGGCTGGAGGAAACAGGAAGCTGGGAGTTGTTGTTTAATGGGTATGGAGTTTCAGTTTTGCAAGATGGGAATATTGTGGTTGCCCAACAATGTAAATATACCTAATACTACTGAACTACATTTAAAAATGGTTGAGGATAACAACCATTTATTGTATATGTATTTTATCAGAATTACAAAATTAAATGTCAATGAATAATTCTAAAAATTGTGAAGGACTGAAATTGAAAAATATACTTAGAAATAGTCTGAATAATATTTTTAAAAAGTCATTGAGATTCTTATTTTGTAATGGGACATTACTAGTCTAGCAAAATTTCATAGATGTATCATGCAAAACTGAGTAAACAACCCCAAAGATGTCCAAATAATAATTTGGAATTCCCAATTGGGGTTCTTCCTTCTTGGGAAAACTGGAGTCTGCCAAACTATAAAAATCCTTCTGAGAGGAGGGTTGACATGCTTAGGTTTATTCTTGGCATCAGTGATATTCTAGTAGCTTAATTTTCTATAGTATTTGTGGAAATTATAAATTCTATGATATGCTTATCTGTTTTTGATAAGGATGTGAAATAAGGGGCTCATGAGACCCCAGTACCCACTGCACCTAAAAGGGAGAGAGAGTGAAGTGGCTAAATCATTCAGTCAAAATTGCTTTTCTGTCATTACAAACTGCTTTCCTGAAAATGGCCTTCTATTCACATCATGACAATTCTTCCTTTTTCTTTTTACCTCCTGCTCTGGACCATCAAACCCAAAATTTGGTAGATGAACTTACTTTCTTAATGTTTGTTTCTAAGGACTCGTTTTTTTAGGAGCTAGAAGCCAGACCATGAAATATGAAGCCTTTATCTCATTCCTACCTATTGTCATTATATTTGATATGTCTTCAGAAACAGAAAACTTTTTTTCAAGGACCAGTTTGAGGGTGAAGAAGGTGAGTTACTGTAATGCTGATTTGTCAAAAGCATACCTGCTGTGCCCTGTTCCCAGAGTTCTGTCAAAGGAAATCTGGTTACATAAGGCAGCTGGCCAACCAAGACTCTTCCAATATATTTTCTTATATTACTTTTCTGTTTTCTTTGTAATTTTTTTGGTAGCATTGAATACATTTGCTCATAAAGCTTTTTGTCTGTTTGTGTATTTTTCTGTCCTTCATCTTCATTCTCTTCCTCTTTCTCCTCCTTCTCATTCTTCTGACTTATTTTTTATTTCTTATTCCACTGTCTGAAAGCTTCTGGTGATAAGTTCAGTGTTTATCTAATTTTGGTAGCTAACAACATTGCTCATTCATAGGTGTGATTTTTGTGACAATAGTAACATAGCTTGTTGCTTTTTCAATGCCCTCAGCTGACCTGCTTGTGTATCTTAGTTATTACTCCTTTTTGGAAAATGAGTGGAGAGCTAGGCTTACTTTAAGGGTCGGCAATGATGAAGGGTTTTTTCTGCCAACCCCCAGATCAAGAGACATTTCCCTCCTTGGTTGATTGACATTCCAGGTCAGGTGGTTTCTGAGTGGTGGGAGGGGGGGAGGGGAGAGAAGGGAGGAGAGAAGCACAAGAAGGAGTTTATGGGGTTATGTCAAAACTTGCTTTTAGGCAATTGAATTACGTACTCTAATTAGATTTTATAATCTTGTTGAGTTACTTAAATGATAACCTGTACTAAAAGAAAAAAGCTTACTGACAATTTAGCCAAGTAGCATTCTCATTCTCCTGGGAAGAACAGTGTGAACAAATTACTTACTGTTGACTTCGTTCTCTTTTGCCTTCTCCCCGTACATGGCTGGCTACATGTGTGCTTGCAGTGAAGAGTGGAGGAGTGCTGAACTCCAAGCTTATTCTTTTAAATGGGTAACAATTGTTTGTTCCCTAAAAACTTTGTTGATTCTCAAGTAAATATGAAGAAGTCTCATGACAACTGACCATATTAAGAAAATATTTTCAACCAACAGGTTTTGTAACCAGTAGGCCTACTGGGTGAGATGAAATGTTCTTTCCCTTCTTTGAATGAATGTGAGCTTGTTTTTCAAGAATAAGAGAGGGAATATCCCAAGAAATAAAAATATTTGGATTAAGACATTGCAGTAGGTTGAACGGTGGCCCCCCAAAAGATATGTCCACATCCTGGACCCTGCGAATGTCATCTTATTTGGGGAAAAGGTCTTTGTAGGTATAGTTAAGTTACAGGTCTCAGCAAGAGATCATCTTTGGATTAACCAGGTCAGGCCCAAATCCAAAGGCAAGTGTCTGCAGAAGAGAGACGCAGAAGGAAAGTCCATGCAAAGACAGAGGCAGAGATTGGAGTTATGTAGCCAGAAGCCAAGGACCTCCTGGGGCCAAGAGAAGCTGGAACAGGCAAGGGAGAATTTTCCCCGAGAGTCGTTGTGGGGAGTGCAGCCCCGCTGACATCTTGATTCCAGCCTTCCAGCCTCCAGGGCGTTGAGAGAATAAATTTCTCCTTTTAAGCCACCAAACTTGTGGCACTTTGTAAGAGCAGCTCTAGGGAACAAATTTAGATCTCTTCCTTAAAAGCACGCGAATCTTATAATTTAGAACTCTTCAGGGAACAGAGGGAGCATTTATTAAGAACCCTGTGGCGGCACTGGCTAGGTGCTTAACTTCATGATTTTAACTTTCTAATTTTTAAAAATGAATTCTATTTATTGATGTGACATTGGTTAATAGCATTATATAAATTTTGGGTATACAACATTATAATTTGATATTGGTATACTGTATTGCATGCTCACCGGCAAAAGTTTAGTTTCCATCTGTTACCATATATTTGAATCTCTTTACTTAATTCGCAGCACGGTGATCACATAGGGAGCTGGGTGGGAATCCTGGCAACAGGCAGCGTGGAGTAGTTAAGCTCTGGCTCTGGATTCTGTCTGGGTTTGACCTTGGCGAAGTTACTCAACTGCTTGGACTTAATTTCCTCAATTGGAAAATAGAAATGATACTAGAACGTCACACAATTTCTGGGAAGGTTAAAAAGTATAAAGTATTTAGAATAATGCAGAAGAAGGGCTAAATGAATGTTAACTGTTACGATTACTACACATTATGCTAATACACAATTGCTAAGGCTATGAATACAAGGCAAAGAATAAAAGAGAATGAGATTTTTTTAAGGCAGAACAAGTGAACTTTATCAGCTATTAAATTAGAAGTCACTTTCGGAGAGATTGTTCTTCTGAATATTTATTCAGTTCTGGTATGGCTGTTATAAAGGAGATAAAAATATATATTATCTCATTACAAAGATGAGGAAAGTGGGGCTCATTCAGTTTTTGTACCGTGCTTATTGTCAAAGTCAAGGAGGAAATCATGCTGGGGTTCAGTCCTGGACCCTATCACTCCAGAATGATCTGCCACACCACACTGCCTCTACAGCAATGCTTTCCGAATGATAAGTACCCAACAAATATTTTTGAATTAGGAAAATCAAGCCTTGTAATCAGTAACTTTAAAGTAATATTGGAGCTGTCCAAACTATTTTGAAATGAGGAAATTGTTGCCAACCATTTCAGAACTGTAAATCTCTTAAAAGATTATAGCAAAATGGAAGGATTAAGAAACAATCATTCAGAAAATAAATCTATTTTTTTTTTGTCCACACCCACTACTCTCTTTTCCATTTGCTGTAGATTTAATAAAAGTGGGCAGGCAGCGAGTGGTAATCTGGTTTCTTTTTTAAAAATTCCATTTCCTTTTCTTTCTTTCTTAAAAAAAAAGGAAAGAAAATAAATGTCCTAATATGAACACTGAACATTCTCACTTTCATTGTTAACATTTTTTAAAGAAAAGTTTTCATTTATTATATTGCTCTCTTAATTTGTCCCATCTGGTTAACTAATAACTTATTAAAACATTAGTCATCTCTTGCATCGAAGGTCTTCCAGAATAAGATGCTGCTCCATTTAAATAAAAGATGAAGGATACCGAAACAGAAGCAGCCTTTAACTAACAGACCCATAAATTAGATAGTAGCTGGTGCTATGCAATCCTCACATTGGCACTTGGACTAGAATTGGCCAGAGGTTCTTAACCTGGAGGCCAAAACTTGGGAGGTGGGATGGGGGACATCGATGAACTCCTTGAAATACTTGCAAATTTTGCATACACAGCTTTCTGCATGTACTTCAAAGGAAACTGTAATGAATGTAAGCTAAGAACCAATGTTTCAATGCTTCATTACTAAAGCTAAAATTGCCACATTTTCCTCCTTTGTGTCACCTTAAATGCCATTACAATATCAAGTGTATAATAAATGTTTGCTGGTTGCTTAAGTGAGAACCAGACGCTTCATTGTGTTAAAGATGTAATCAAAAGGGTCAGGTTTCTGAAAGCGAGGCTCCATGATATAATCGGAAGAATTTACCTGCCTAGGAGGGTCCAGGTTTGGATTCTTGTCCTTGCTCTTCCACAGAATGATCCTGAGTTACTTCTCCTCTCTGAGCTGCTGTTTCTTCATCTGTGAAATAAACATTTGAATAAACCTAAAGATGCCTTCAAATTTAAAATATGTTTCTTGTAAAAGATTATTAAACCTATTAGATGGGTGTTCTCCCACAGGATTTGAAAATGTATTATAAAAACCAGGCATGACAATCTAGCCTTATTTAAAAAATTAATTTTAGAGAAAGTTTCATTTTGAGGACATGCGACTGGCGAGTGACTTCCCAATGTACTCTCGGGGCCATAAGGTGTCACATTACCATCTACAGCAAGGTTGTGCCCCCAGTGGGACCGAGAAATGAGGCTAACTTTCCCCCACCTTGCTTCTGTCAGAGCAGCCTGCCTTTAATCTGTTTCATACACTGCGTTTCTGGTAATATTTTGTTTGTAGAAAATGTCTTGATTTTAATTAGTCTGTCTTGATACCCTTGGGGGAAAAAAAAAGAAAAAAATAGATCATGTTAATCACTGAATTTAAAAATCTGTCTGTGAAAAAGCACTGGAAACAGTCAGAAACCCTAAGACTTGTTTCTTATTTTGTTATTTATTAGCTTGTCACATCAGGCAGGTCAGATGGCCTCTCTGAGTCTTTGTCCTCAGATATAGAATGATGATAGCATCTTATTCATAAGAGAGCTGTAAGAATTAAATAAAACAATTTTTTGAAGGTGTTTTTAATTGGTGAGGCATCATAAATGTTGTGACTGGGGTTTTAGTGGTGAGCCTGAGGGCTATGTATTTTGTCCTGACCATTGTAGCATTTTTGTCCACCTGAATTAAGTCAAAGAAAGCATGTGATCAATTTACAGATAAACCCACATTATGGGGTGGAGTTATAAAAGACTTGCCAGATTACAGAATGACTAAGGGTAAAACTTTTGAGGAAATATAAAGTCTTGTTCTTTACTTCACAAAGGCAATTGTCCAAGGGCAAGATGGGGGAAAATGTGATCTATGAGCAGTTTAAGGAAAAAAACAATGTAAGGAATTTTACTTGTCTTCAAGTTCATTATGAGTCAATAGTGTTGTGATATGGTTGGCAAATAAATAAATAAGTGATCCAATGATCTTAGTTCATTTGGGTTATTATAACAAAATACCACAGACTGAGTAGTTTATAAACAACAAACATTTATTTCTCACGCTTCTGGAGACTGGGCAGTCCAAGGTCAAATTGCCAGCATAGCTGCCTTCTGGTGAAAGCCCTCTTCCTGGTTCATGCTGTGCCCTACACGGTGGAAGGGGCTAGGGATATCCCTGGAGCCTCTTTTATAAGAACACTAATCTCATTTTTGAAGGCTCCACCTCCAATCACCCTTGGAGTTAGGATTCAACATATGAATTTTAGGGGGCTACATATAGACCATAGCACTGATATTCTTATATATTTATAGAAGTACTGTTCCATAGATGAGAAAAGGGGGCTACAGCTCTTGGCTTTGATTATAACCTTCTTCCAGCTGTTGAAGACCCTTCTCCATTAGGTTGAGCACATCCCTAGGAAGATAGATGGACAAAGTCTGGAAGGTTTCCAATGGGAAACATTGAAAGAAGATTTGGGGAGAAGAACGTGTCATGGAGGTCTTAAAAGACCTAAAAGGTTTTAAATGGTATTATAGCCTACTGTGGAGGGGAACGTTTGGAATTGTTTTATTGTTTTCAGAGGTGAATCTCGGGAAAATCTTTAAATAATAAGAGCTACCCAAAGGGAAAGAGGTTGCCTGTTTGAAGTAGTGAGAATTCCATTAGGGAAACTGTTCAAGCAGATACTGGACGACACCTTCTAAAGGTTGCTTTTATCACAATTATTTGTTTCTCTTATTTTCTAGTGTTGACTGAGCACAAATGAATCAAGAGGCATTAGCGGGAAAAAATGATGAAGATTTAGTCAAAGGCCCTAAGAGTTTGCTAACTGCAAACAGAGCTAGGTAAAAAAACCTAGAACTGTTCTGAAGAAAAAGAAAAGTTAAGAGTTCTTACTGTAAAAGTCACATCCTTGAGAATAATCAGTCTTGTGTTCTTGGCCCTTGTATTGGTCTAGGGCAGTTATCAGCCAATGTCAGGTGGAGGGGTGCCAGTCTGGATGACAGATGCCAGATGCTCTGGTCACATAAACATTTTTTTCCTAAATCCTTTAGGGGCTCTTGCATAGTTGTCTTATAGGATTTATATATGTATATGTTCAGGTACAACTGGAAGTTCAAAGGTTTAAGTTCCCAGGCTAGTTAAAGCAAGAATAAAATTGTTTTTCAAGCCTCAACTTACTTGATTTTAAGAGTTTAGCAGCTTGACCATACAGACTCCATTTTATTTCTTCACTTTATTCTTCACTACATGCATTTTACTGCCTTGCCTTCTAAGAGATTCCTTTCAGGTGATTCTGTTGAACCTTTCATACATGTATGATAAAGGAGGGTAAAATGGTGATTCCCATTGGTCTGGAAGAACTTGCTCCAAAGGTCATGGGGTATACCATATTACCTGTTTTGTGTTTGCATCAGTCTTTGTTTCCTGCTAAATGGAGGAAACTTATAGAACAAGCTTTGTCTTATATTATAAACTTATTTTTCTGCCCATCAAAACTAGAACTAGGCCAACCTGATTGATTTTTTCTTTGTTTAAAGTTTTAGGCAATGGAACATCTTATTAAAAACATAAGGGCCAAGCTGTCCCTGTGGAGTAGATGAAGACTTAAGGACTAAAAAGAGTTGGTAACTGAAGTATTAGGGTCAATTAAATATTTTTATACCTACTTTTTCCTATCAATAAAATGACAATAAGCTAATTTTCTTATTTACTTAATTTACAAAAATTACTTAATTTACAAAAATTACTTTTCAGTGGATGAATAAAAGAGAGCAATTTATTATTCTTACAAGATAAAAAACATGGTATTTCCCCCATGGTTGGGGAAGAGGTCAAGTGAACTCTCTCTGATAGAAGTAGAAGGAAGTGTTAAAGTTACTGGGTTTCCATAAGTTGGTCACAGGTTGGCATTTCATCTCATTTAGTAGGTAATAAATAATGAACTGCATATGAGGAAGTAGTATGGCAATTCTGACTCAAGGTCTTTCCCAAAAGGAGGGTTATTAGATTTTCAAAAGAAACAAAGATAATGTAAAACTCTTAGGTTTAGATAAGACTCAACTTCAAATAAAATTTTATTTTCACTTTCCTTTGTCCTTCTGCATCAGTGAACATTTACTGAACAGAGATGAACTGGTACTTTGACTATCTGCGGGATGTGGGCGTGAGAGCTGTAGAGGCACTATATTGCTCCAGAAAATTTGCTCTGGATGTGCCCTCTTTTTTTTTTTTAAAGAAAGATTTTATTCATTTATTTTTAGAACCAGGGGAAGGGAGGGGGAAAGCAGGAGAGAAGCATCAATGTGTGGTTGCCTCTCACGCGCCCCCTACTGGGGACCTGTCCTGCGACCCAGGCATGTGCCCTAGACTGAGAATTGAACAGAGGATGTTTTGCTTCACAGGTCAGCACTAAATCCACTGAGCCACACCACCCAGGGCTGGGCGTGCCATCTTGAACTTTTTCTCTTTTTTCTTTTTCTAGTCTTTTTACTTTTATTGTTCAATATCCTACTTGTATTCATTCCCAAATTCTCTTTTTAATCTTTTCAAGGATCTTGAACTCCAAGTGATAGCTTTAGCTTGAAATTTCTTATAGACACCCTTTGATCTTATAATAGAGCTGAAAGGGCAGGGATGCAATATTTGAATAGCGTACTGTCACCCAGGAAACTATTCTGCACAGGTAATAATAGGTATTTATTGAACAACTCTCAGAACTTTGCTAACCACTTTACATGTGTTACCTAATGCAGTTCACTTAACACTATAATGGAGGCATTATTTCTAAACCAATTTTACAAATGAGGAAACTGAGGCATTGGGGAATTTTAAAAACTTCATTAAAGATCTGAAGTCTAACAGCTAATGTACAGCATACACTCTTAACTATTCTGCCAGACTGCTTCTCAGTGCAAAGAGCCCTGATTCATAATCTGGCAAATCATCCATCCATCCATCCATCCATCCATCCATCCACCCATCCACCCATCCATCCATCCATCCACCCATCCATCCATCCACCCACCCATCCATCCATCCATCCATCCATCCATCCATCCATCCATCCATCCATCCATCCATCCACCCATCCATCCAATCAAATAGTCAACAAGCATGTACTAGGCATATAAGCTGTGAATAAAACTGACACTCTCCTCAGGCCGCTTTCCAGAGAGGAGGAGAGACAAGTTATGCAAGCATCTGCACACAATGTGGTAAGTGCTATAACATCACTTACTTACGGCAGGGAAGTGTAGCACACTCGGGCACAGAAGGAGGCTCTAACCCAGCCTGGATTGGGGTGTTAAGACAGGTAGAGCAAAGAGTTCTTGTCCTCAGCACTGTGTGCTTCAACTATTTTGTAGCAAAAGGCATACAATGTAACCTCTAGAAAGAAAGGTCTTTGAAGCAAGGTCCTCCTCTGTGTTGTCCCTGCAGGGCCTGGCATATCATGGCTTCTCAACTAAAAGCTGTTGAATAAATGAAAATTCTAATGCTCCATAATAACTCTACTATTACAGGGTGTCTTTTAACTTATTTCTAGTGACTCTGAACCTTTTTCTTTTTTAAAAATTGATTAGAGAGAGAGAGAGAGTCCAATTTGTTGTTCCAGTTATTTATGCAATTCTTTGGTTGCTTCTCATATGTGCTCTAATCGGGGATCAAACGCACAACTTTGGAGTGTTAGGACAGTGCTTTAACCAACTGAGCTACCCAGCCAGGGCTCTGAACATTCTTTTTGTTTGTTTGTTTGTTTGTTTGTTTGTAAAGACATTTATTTATACTACCATTAAATGAACATTCTTAAATGCTTCTCCTGTAAGCGTGAAATACATATTACCTTTTGACTTAAAAAATCAAGTCTATGCTCCATTTAAAGCCATTTTCTAAAAGCTCTATTCCAGGAAAGCTGCCACACCCGTTTTATTTGACTAGAACAATGTGTCCTCCGGGATCTTTTAGAACAGATACCCTGACTAAAGACTCTGGGACAACTTGGGAGAGTGGAGCCTCTGGTTGTTTTAACCCTTGTTCTTTTCCTGTCGATCTGTGGGATTCCATGCTCTATTCCGTCCTGATGAAAGACTTGTTCCCTCTTCAGCTTTGCAGGATGGCTTGGAAAGTTTTCTTCCCCTCAATGTCTTCCCTACCTTTTCACTCTTCAAATCGTATTAATTTTGGGGAGATGGTTTTTAAATATTTACTACACAATCTTCTGGCAGCCTACAAGAATCCAAGGCAAAGCAAGAAAGGCCTACATAAAACTGAAAGCCCAGGCTAATGATTTCCCTCATCAAGAAACTTCGTTATCATAAGGTGGTGTTTTAGTTAGGTTGCAGGTCTCGGCTGTAGAGCAGGTATTACATTTATGTCTTCCTTGTGCCAGCTTGAAATGTGTTGGGGCTAGTGTAATATTCTCCTTAGTGAAATGCAGTAAATCCAAGGTAGCAAAATAATGCTGACGGGAGGGGAAACCAGAGCTCGTAAGGGGAGAAGTTAGCTCGGAGCTGGTAACCCTTACGGCCTGTCCCAGGGTCACAGTGCCCAGGTTTGTGCACAATCTTTACGTTAGCTAATAACATAATTTTACTTTCTAGCTTGATGCTGCAGTTTAAAATTGTACTTCATTTTCTTCCCTGCTTAATTTTTCTCCAGAGCCTTAGCTCCTCATATGTTATATAGTTTACTCATTATTATTATATTTTATTTTTCAGATGTTTGATATTCCCTCTAAAATTTAAGCTCCCCCAAGGGCAGGAACTTTTGCCTGCTTTGTTGTTCATCCTGGGCCCAGAATTGTCCTGGTAATGAGTAGATGCACAATAAATATCTGTTGAATAAATGAATCATTAATCCTGATTAAAGCAATATTAGTAAATTATAACTATGATCATTTTTCCTAGATGTATTTAATTTATAGATAACAGACATTTAAAATTATTTTATAGAAATCTTCTAATTGGACAAAATATAACCATCACAGGATCATCAACAGGAATTGACGGTCAAAAACCACCCAGATCCCATATTCATCAGCATAGTATCCTCTTTTAAACATAGTCATGGAAAGATAAAGCTTGTGCAGGCGGGAATGGAAAATCTTGAGGTTTCCTGATGCAGATAGACTTACTTGAATCCCTAAAGCTAAGGGTATGGTTTGGCTCAGTGTACTTGTAACTGGTCCTGGCAACAAGTTCAGGTGCTGCTTACCACCCCGTGCCACTCAGAGTCACTAACTTTAGATTCCTATTTCTGGTCAAATCATTATCATCCCATTCCAAAATTCTTAGTACAGGATCAGGCAGTTCATTAGAACTCAAAACATAAAAGATGAATAGAGGAGTACACTACTTATTGGAGAGTTTCTCTTGTCCTTGACATTGCTATAATCACAGGGATGCTTCCCAGCGAGGACATGTCAGCATGCTCTGAGGACCACAGTGGCTGCTCCAGCTCTTCCTTTTTCCCAAGACTCCTACCTCCAGGGCCAGTCTAGTGTAAGTGAAATGGGGCTAATCTGAGTGCCAGATACCCTCCCTCTCATCCAGTGTGGCCTCTCTCAGCAGCTGTCGTGCAGAACTGAGAAAAGACTAGGCTAATCTAGAAGCAGAAGGAACAACTGGCCTCACTGGGCTTAGATTAATATTATGAGTAAGTGAGTCCAAAACGATAGTGCATTGTAAGCAAATTCTCTATAGGACTACGTTAATGACATTTGACTTATTTATTTTATTTTATTTTTTTATTTTTGTTTATTCTATTACAGTTGTGCCAGTTTTTCCCCCCTTCGCCTCCTCTGTCCAGCCACACAGAAGAAAGCTTGAGCAGGTATGTAAATATATGCAAATTACATAGGTGTGTAACATCTGTGTTACACTTAATTATTCATATATTTCAATGTGACCCTTGGGAAAAAGCCCTATATAAATTACTGGTGTAGTGGTACATAGAAATTAATGAACTTCAAGTTCTAAACCCATCTGTTTTTTAAAATACCTTAGATACTTTATAAAAAACAACTTTATTGGGATATAATTCATGTACCATACAATTCACCCATTTAAAGTATACAACTTAGTGGCTTTTAATGCACTCACAGTTATGCAGCCAACACCAGTCAATATTAGACCATTTTTATCACCTCGCACTTGTTAGCAGTCGCTCCCCACTCTTCCCCAACTCCACCTCCCATTCCAGCCACACACAAATATGAATTTACTTTCTGTCTCTCTGGGTTTGCCTGTTGTGGATATGTTACATATATGGAGTCATATAATACGTGGTCCTTCACTTAGCATAATCTTTTCAATCTTCATCCATGATGTGGCGTGTATCACCACTACATTCCTTTTTACTGCTGAATAACACTCTATTGTTCCATTGCATACCACATTTTATCTATCCATTCATCAGTCAATGGACACTTGGGTATTTTCACTTTTTGGCTATTATGAGTAATGCTGTTGTGAACATTTGTGTACAAGTTCTTACATGGATATAGGTTTTCAATTCTCTTGGATATATACCTCAGAGTGAAATAGCTGGGTTATGTGGTACCTCTCTATTCAACTTTTTTGAGGAACTGCCAAACTATTTTCCATGGCAACTCAACATTTTATATTCCTACCAGCCATGTATGATGGTTCCAATTCTTTCGCCTCTCCAACAATTGTTATTATATATTTTTTAAAATTATAGCCATTTGGTTGTTTTGAAATTGTATCTTGTGGTTTTGATCTTCATTTCCCTAAAAAGCATTGAAAATGCTTTCTCAATGCTTTTTAGCATTGTAGGCACAAAATGCTAAAAGCAATGTAGGCACATTTTCATGTGTTGGTTGGACATCTGTACATCTCCTTTGAAGAAATTCTATTCCTAGAGAAGTGTCTAAGATCCCTTGCTCATATTTAAATGGGTTACTTGTCTATTAGTTGACTGAGTTTTTCTTTTTTTGTCTTAAGAATGAGGGGTGGTTGGGAGAAAACAGCTTCGGACCTCTCACCTGCTCTTGACTAGAATGGAGTTTCTGCAATGCAGTGCTGGTGTGGATGAGATGCTGGTGGCCTGCTTTTCCCAGACATACATGTCATATACCACAGCCCTAGCCTGGGACTGAGTGTGAGAGGGAGCCCTCTCAGCTGTACCCACACGAAGCAGAGTACCATCATACCCACCTGGAGGAGGGCAAGGAAGGGTGTTGTGGCTCAAATGCCACAAACTCTTGCTGTAATACCAAAATTTACTACACTATCTTGAATACATTTTCTTCATTTGTTGCATTTTCTCAGGGCAATATCTAAAGACTAAATATTGTTTATTCATATTTTTTCACCAGTTATTGTTGTGTTGCTAAAGAGTGGGTTCATGGAGCTCCTCATGCCACCATTCTAGAGGTTTAGTCCCATTTGGATAATTTTTAATGAAGATTTTGCATCTTGTATACTTGGTGGTAAAAGAGTTTATGCTGATATAGTAGGTATAGAATCAGAAAGCACAATTGTTCCAAGAAGTATTTGCAAATTCACAAACAGTAGGTTAACAAAACTGATCGAAGTTGATGGCTGGTTGACTTTCAATTTCATGTCCAATTGAATTCTAGACTGCCTATGCATTTAGTTTGACAGACCATTCATAATTAATTGTTACTAAATAGATATATAGAAATATTCAAATAATGAGTGTGACTGCATTTCATATGAGAGTTTGTTGTTCTCTAGTAATCTATGTACAAAGCTATTACAACCATTGAAACAATATTCAAAATGATGCCTATTTTAAAAAGCATAGGAATAATTACAATGTGAAAATCAAGTTATTAATAACTCTTTAGTTTTATGCAATAACCTAAAAAGCAAAAAATGGCCATGCATTTCTTAATTTTTTTGTTTCACTCAAAAGAACTACTGAGCCACAAAGTGTTTTAGAAAAACAGCCGTCCCAAGTTCCTTGATGCATTTATCTGTAGTTTTAGGGCAAAGATTTACATTTAACAATTATTCAAATTCTTTATTTGGTCATGGGCTGAGTTCATATGTTCATTGCCAACCAGTTGAATGTCACTTTAGCTAAAACAGACCTAGCATTTCTGCTCCTACCTATCCATTCCTATATTCCCCATGGCAAAATTAACTATTCCTCTTTTTGGGTTTAGAAGCCTGGTTACTTACAAATGATCACTTGGGCAATTTTGAGAAAACATATACTGCTTAATAATTATGAGAAAGTGTTAAAATGTATTGTCTGGAGATTTGTCACTTTTGGGGTAGCTGGCTTGTGTGTATTACTGTCTGAAGTAGCTTACTGGCAAAAAGTATTGTACTGTGTAAGTGCATGAAACTAGATAGAGGAATACATTAAGAATGAATCCAAGCGGCTCCCAGTAATATTTCCCTTAATAGTTATTACTGAACTACAAAAAGATAACTCATGAAAGTAATTTACAAAGTAATTTTCTCCCCCCCTCTTTTTTTTTGGCTTGTAAAGTTACAATAATAAAGTTTAGTTCCTGTTGAGTGCAACATCATGGTTTTTAATATAAAGGCAAATGGAAAAACCTATTCAATTCTTAAAATTTTAATACAGTTAAGTCATAAACTGATAAACTGCATTAAAGCTCGGTATTGTATTTCCCCCATAAGGGCAGAGAATGTATCCTACCAGAACTACGTTTCAAGCAGATATTTTAGAAGATGCTCACCTCCTGGTTGGGTGGATCGCTCTGCGGCTTAGGTGAGCGCCACTGCTTTGGCGCCTCTCCAGACGCTGCGAGCTCCCCCTGCGCTGGGCGCCTCCGAGCTTCTCAGAGTTGGGTGTTCGGCCCGCCGTGCGCACTATTGCCAAAACTCCAATTCTGCCAGACTGATTACGGCGATTAATTATTCACAAAAGGAAAACACTCCCACGCAAACTTGTGTCCACCTGCACTGCTCCAGTGAGAATGCCGACTGCACCACTCCCCCTCCCCCTTTGCTCTATGGTCCCAACTTCCCACGCGCTACCACTCTCAGTTCTGGGCGATCAGGCTCGTCCTCGGAGGAATGCAGCCCAGCGACTTCTACATTTTTAAATTGGTTTTTTTTTTGCAGCTGGTTAGCACCTCTCTCGGGATTAGCCTTGTAGGAGAGGGTGCTTTCCGGATGCTGGGGAAGCCGGGGCTCGCAGAGCAACCCGGGGAGAGTAAGGCGTCGCTGTCACCTCCGGCTGCTGCAGTAAAACCCCGAGCGCAGCGGGGATGGGGAGGAGGGGATAGGGAGGCGCCCTCCCCCCCAGCTTCGGGCTGGGAGCCCCGACACTACCGAAGGGACACGTCCTTTGGTGGGGGTGGGGCAGATAAACTGGAGGCGCAAGGTGGAAGCTTTGTGGCTTTAGCCTATCAGCCGAGGCTAACCCGCCCGGGCATCTGTCGGCAGGCTTGGGCAAGGGGGCGGAACCCTGCGGACACCGAGCAGGACTGCGGAGTGAAAGTCAGCAGCCGCCTGCGAAGTGAGCCCAGGGCTCCGGTGTGCTGAGCAGGTATCCCACTGCATTTCCTTTCAGAGCCCGAAGGAAGCAAACCCTTGGAGCACCGCATCTAATTCTTGTGCTTTTGAATGTGCAAAACCTGTCCCCCCCCAACCCCTTGCCCTCCCCCCCAACCCCCCGCCCCATCCCTCCATCCTGCCACCTTTCTTCCACCCGGTGGCTGGGAGGTTAATCGTTGAAAAGCTGGACTCCCCCGGGTAGACAGATCGAAGGATCGTGCCCAGGGAACTTGTCTGTGCTCACTCCCAAGTGGAGAGAATTAACGTGGGCCCGGACTGCAGCGAGGAGGCAAATTGGGAAAAGAGTGCTGGGAGGTGTCTAGGCGATGCAGACACTGCACCCCCTCCCCCGGCTCGGCTCACAGGCGGGCGAGCTCAGCGCTCGCGCTCAATTATCTTCCTGAGGAGGTGCCGACTGAAGAACATCTATCCCGAAATCCGCAGCCAGAACACCATCGATCCCTTCCCTACGGAGGGCAGCAGAGTGCTTAGATTTAACGCCTTGGATGCTTGCTGAGAGCGCAGAGGCCCTTGGGGATCTTAACCCTGAATATCTCCTTAGCCGAGACTCTTTTTGCCCAAGACCCAGGTGTGTTCACGGTCTAAAGCCTCTTTGGGGCGACACCCCGCAGCCCCCACTGCCGAAGGAGGAGGCGCTGCACTTGCTCGGCCCCTTGGCTGACCTGACGGGGGTTAAGAGCAAATTTCAGCCACTGGCAGGTTTCTGCGAATTTTCACAACATTCTTCAACCAGGCTCCAAGCTGCTGGTGCAGCTAGTACAGGGAGACTCACGTTATTGGGCTGGGCTTTCTCCATGAGAAGGGAGGGTGTCTCCAAAGGAAGCTGAAGGTGGTTGGGACCAGGGACGGGAACCAATAGAAACTGAGCACCTTGGAGCCTGTGTTGGCAGTTTTCCATCGTTTTCTTTTCCTTCTCCTGTATTTAAATATTAGCAACCAATGCTAGTATTTTTAAAATTTCTTTATCACTTTATGTTGTTCACATTCCTTACCTTCTGGCTTCTCCTGACAAACCTGGTAATGTTGGCAGAGCAAGCATGATTGACCCCATTTGGAGAGATGAGGCAATGAAAACCCGAAAGTGACTTGTCCAGGGTCACAAACTCTCGTTTTGTGGTAGGGCCAACACTGTTCACACTAGTTTGTAGGTCTCATCCACACTAGAGACACTTGTCTCACTAGATTGTGACCTGTGCATCCCATCCCACATGTGATTGTACATTTGTGGAAGTATAGTAACATGCCTCACTTCCTGCCTAAGGTTTGTGAAATGGACATGAGACCTTGCAATTACCTGAACCGGAGAGAAACTGGTACAGCTGGCAGAAGCATCCAGGCCATTAAAAACAGCCTTAAATGACAATATGTAATACAACCATACACAGATACACTTTCATGTATATCTTTGCACCCCCAAATGGGGAATAGATATTTTTTCTATACAAACATAGAATATCCTCAAAACTGAACTAGATCACCAAATAAAGATCAACACATTTTAAAAGGCAGAAATCATAAAGACTTATATCATCAAAATGCAAAAAGGATAAAATTAATGACAAAAATTTCCTCTGACTGACATACAACTGGAAATTTTTAAATGCTTTAAATCTAGATTAAATAGAAGCACAAATGGAAAATTACAAACTCTTTACTTGTATGCTGGCGTAAATAGTATTACTTTCCCAGATTAGAACTTTTTGTACTACCCAATAGAATTCCAAAGTTATTTGAAGGGATTGTCATACGTTAATGAAGTTTACATATGTTAGTCTTCACTGAGTCACCAATTACCTATGTACCTTTGGCTAAACCAGCTAACCTTTATAAAACTATATCACAGTTAAACCAGGTACTTGGATAAATTCCTGGAATGCATTCATCAATCAAAGGAATCAATATCAATTTCCTTCTGGCTAGCTTAAGGAAAGCCCATTAGTAATCTTAGATTTACCTTATTTTCTCAGAATAAGTGGGTAATTCTGTTTTTATGTAAAATGGAAAATACATTTCCCCTTTCAGTTATATTGTTAAAGAGATGAACCTGGTATCCTCCACTACTAGCAATTCTTTTGTTTTAGTTTCCCTTTATCAATGTAGAATTTTATTTTCTTCATTAATTAGAACTGTCAGGTTAAAAACAAGCCAAGAAAGTTGTATGGCTTGGATCTTTGACCTCTATCAAGCTTCAAAAGAATAATAATAATGATAAAGACAATAATGATAATAATGACTATTATTTATTGAACTACTACCACCAAACTTTCCCTAACTCATCTCTTTTTCTCCATGTAAGTAGGACCTTTTGGCAAGGTAGGCATTTTTATCTCATTTTTATAACAGTTGACAAAGGATCACAGACAATGTAACTCTTTCTGAGATGATACAACTTGGAGAAGTGGACACCGAAACCAGAACACTATGCTCTGTTGACTCACTTTAAACAACTTCTTCATGACTTCTCATATATAATATTTCTAAAAGAAGGTGGATGCATTGTTTTGATTAAGAGAATGGATGCAGAGCCAGAACTCTGTATTTAAATCCCAACGTAACCTGTGAATTTAAGTTGTGAATGAGGACAGCTTACTTAAACCTCTCTAAAAGCCTCAATTTCCTCATCTGCCATAAAGGACAATAAACATATTGAATTATTTAATTTAATATACAAAAAGCATGCAGAAGAGTGCTTTAAGAAGAGTTTCTGTTCTATCTGAGTCTTCAGCTGGATGAGGTACACCCACATTAGGGAGGGTAGTCTGCTTTACTTAGTCTACTGATTCTAGTGTTAATCTCATCAGAAATGCCTTCACAGACAAACTCATAATAATGCTTCAACAAATTTCTGGGCACCCCGTGGCCCAGCCACATTGCCAGATAAAAGTGATTATCACGGTGGCCAAATATTTGAATGAACCAACTATTTTACTGTGGATTTTAACAGGTAACTGCATATTGAGCCAGAACAAACTTCCTTTGTCTGTCTTTGCTACAGGATTCATTGCTTCTTTTCAGGCTTTTGATAAACAACAATCTTCTCTAACTTCTATTCTTATCCTTAATTAGTTGGAGTAAAACTCTTCAGCTATAATGAATAGCTGTGTAATGAGAAAGGGACTTCAACCCCATTACTGACTGTTCTCCACTGAGTTGTCATCCATCTTCAACAAACAATTTTTTCTGACTCTTATGTACTATGAAAATTCACAGCCGCTCCAACGTTGTGACATTTTTCTGTGGAGCATTTGGCATTCATTGTAAAGGTATTCTTTTAAATACTGTCAAATTAAACTTTGGGGTCAGGGTTGCTATTAAGGATAAAAAGGACAAACCAGAAATAAGGAAATAAGGCAACAAGAAAATTCAGATGTCAAGAGTAAACGACAGGAAAAGAAGCTTATGGAAACACAGGGGAACCAGACACAAAGCCATGGTTCTTTTGGGATAGTGTGTCACAGTCTTTAGCACCTGATGTAGAGACTGCATTTAAAGCTGATAGGACGGCTTTATGGGAGGCCTCAGGGGAGGTTTTAAAGCGTGTCACAGACCATGTGATATTCATCATTCACCTTCTTAGTGGTAGAACTAGACTTTTAAAAATCAAGTAGGTCACAACACATCTTGTCTCTGTATTTTCTCTGTGAGAAAATTGAAACAGAATCTCACTACAAATAATGACCAAAAGTTTATGTGTATCTCCATCTTTTTCTTTTTTATTATTTTTTAATTTTTAAAACAATTTTATTTATCTATTTTTAGAGAGGGGGAACGGGGGAGAAAGAGAGGGAGAGAAACATCAATGTGCGGTTGCCTCTCACACACCCCCTGCTGGGGATCTGGCCTGCAACTGAGGCATGTGCCCTAGAATATGAATTGAACCGGAGACCTTTTGGTTCACAGGCCAGTGCTCAATCCACTGAGCCACACCAGCCAGGGATATCTTTTTATTTTTTAAATGACTGTCATATTTTCCTACCTACCATTTTTTAAACATCTTTATTGAGATATAATTCACATACCATACAATTTACTCATTTATAAGATATAGTTAAGTGATTTTCATTGTACTCACAGGGTAGTATAAATATCATTGCTATCTAATTCCAGAATATTTTCTTGATGCCCCCCTCCACCCTCACCAAAATTTCATGTTTATAAGCAGTCACTCCCATTGTCTTATCCTCACATCCAGACCTAGGTAACCACTTACCAACTTTCTGTCTCTATAGATTTCCCTAGTCTTGACACTTCATATAAATCATATAATCTTTGTGACAAGTTTTATTTAGCATAATATTTTCAACATTTATTCATGTAGCGTTACCAGTTATTTATTCCTTTTAATTGCCGAGTAATAGTCTACTGTGTGGCTCTATCACATTTTATTCATTCTTTCATCATTTGATGAACATTTGGGTCATTTCCACTTTGGGCTTATTAAGAATAGTGCTGTTATTTATGTACACCTTTTTGTGTGAACATATGTTTGCATTTCTCTTGGGTATATATATAGGGGTGGAATGGCTAGGTCATATGATAAGTCTATGTTTAACTCTTTT